ACTACAGCCCTGTCCACAGGAGAAAGTTGAAGCTTTCTACTTCGGTGAACATTTAGACTCTGGGAAACTCACAGAGACGGTTCTGCTCTGCCCGGAAGGTTGATGTGACTCAGAATTGACCAATATCCAGTTCTCGTTTGATAGCCAGCTTTTCCACACAGTAGTACATGATACTTCATTATGTAGAATAACATTTTCCCATGTGTGTTTTTTCATGTTAATTGATGGTCAGTGAGGATGGATAAAGACAGGTTCTCTAGCCAAATGCACTTGGGAAATACTCATTCAAACAAAGCTAAATGTGTTGCACAATTTCTTAGAAGCTTGGATATGTTAGTATGCATTTTGATATTCCATAGGAGAACACATATTATTCCAGTCTTTTCCACCCTCCAATAAAAGATGTCCTGAGAGACTCTTTCCTTAATTATTGCAAACCTGCAATAAATGGGTTTTCATTAACTTTACCCAGAGCAATTTGATCTTTGTTCTTGCTTCCTAAGGAAGGACACTAAGTCTGTGGCATTTTCTGAGTAATAGAGCTCCTGTGGTTATATATAAACATAAGACTACACCTGAGAATTTATGCTAATGATGACTCAGGTGGGACTCACCAGGCCAAAAAGTATTATATTAGCTGATCTCAAGGGAGGTAGGTTGATACAGTCAATTATGCATACATAATTAGACCCCTTGACATGGAAGCTTCATGAACTTAATGGTTCATGTAGGGCATCAGTGTACAGAGGAGGGTGTCATGTTCTTCTACGGGACATGGGCACTTTAAGAACCCTCTCAGATTTTGCCCCATGCATCTCTTCCATGGTGAGGTAAAGTTTATTGTACCAACCTGGCTGATAAACACATGTGGGTTAATGGAAGGGCGGAGAGATAAATGGCTTGGTGAGCCTCGCCTTTCTAGTCCTGGAGTCTCTTGCTTTCTGATGGTCGGACCAGGGTGCAGCTGCCTTAGCCAGTTCCCTGCTTCAGCTGGCAAGGCTCACTTCCGGTAAGACATCCCAAAGGAGAATCCTCATGGACCTATCCCAATGAAGCCCTGGGTGCTGGAGCAGCCATGTGGAGACCCCTGCCAGCGCTGAGATGCTTAACATGCTCACTGACTCGACTTTCCTCCTGCAGTCGGCATCATAGTATGTGTGTTGTGAGATGGAGGAGGACTTTGTGAATTGGTGTCAGACACATGGGTTAATGTTGGACGTGTGGGCTTGGGCAGCACTGGGTTGGGATGTTTTCTTGACGTGCACTTAACCTTTATATAAAACTCTCTCTTATACATGAGTTTCTGTGGATTTGTTTCTCTAATGTACCCAGTCTAACACAAATGGTATCCTATTTTTCTGTAATACATTTGTGATCATAGTACATTTTTGTGAGTCCTTTGAGTCAGTGTAGTGAATACTTGAACCTAAGGGAGTAATGGGACTAGCAGGGGATGCTAAGGGTCCTGGAGTTAATAGCAGGTCTCCTGAGGGAAGTAGTCGGACACCTCAAATTTGAAGCTGGTAGATCAGAGGTAAGAGTGCAATGAGGACTGCCCCAAAATAGCTGGTGTGAGTCTTAGTGTGACCACAAGAAGTGATACATAGGCAGCTTGTGGTAGAGAAGTGGACAAGAGGGGATTTTGACCTCTGCTCATTCTCATCCTCATATGCGCTTATCAGGAAGGCTCATATTCAGCCAAATTTCCTTTACAAGATCAATCCATATTTCCAATTGGATTTTACTATGACTTTGCTGGTGTAATACTACGTTTGCTAAGATGATTCTTACAAGTCTCATTTTAATTATACACATTTACTTTCCTTTTTTGAGGATTGTGTATTGAGAGAATATACTGTGCACTCTCTGGTTTTACAACACCAAGTATGCGTCTCAGAGCCTGTAGACGCTGACTGAATGACTGAGCCATCCAGTTTAAATCTCAAACCAGGGGCTGTCAAGAGATCTCCGAGAAGTGAAAGATAATTCCTGAGGAAAGTAAAATATGCTTCCTCATTCTTTTAAAGATGGGTGGACTACTTTTATTTAAAAATGCATGTGTATGCTCAATTTAACTGTAACACTGTGGTTGACTGGTAGGGAGAATAAATCACCAGAACCGAAAGCTCTCCTTAAAAAAAAATCAGACTTAAAAGGAAATCATGCAAGGTAGTTTTTATTCAGGTTTCTGTTCAGGTGACAGCTAAGTATTTCAGGCAGAACCTTCTAGGAAACATTTCATGCGACAGGAATGATTTTACAACTATGAGGGGCAGTGCACCTGACTTAGCAGGTAGCATGTGCGTGAAGTACTTTAAGGAATTGTTAAGGGAAAGAAGCCAAATGGCAGCTGGTCCTCCTCTCTATAAAATGATTGTCCTGGACAAGTAGCTACAACGAAAAGAGATGTGATGACCACTACGGAGCTACAGAGATCCTTCTTCCAAATCCACCTGCTTATGTAGGATAGCATTTGGGATCACATATCAGAAGGCAAATATTTCAGAATAAGCTACATGTCAAGTTTCTTACATGTGGTATTCATGCTAATGTGATTCACGTATTTAAAAATATCAAGAACATAATGGTTTTTGATGTAAAATCTACTGTATCAGTGGCTGAAGGAGATGCTTAGTAGTTGAAGTTTCTTCTTTCCACTCTGGTGGGATTTCTTTATGAATTTTTCTGAGAAATCTTCATCGTTACTGTCTTGACCTCTGTGTATTCATGAAGGCCATATTCCCCCCTAGAAAGAGGA